AATAAAAGCAAATTCTGGGGTCTAATTTAGTAGGGGAGGGGCGTGTGGTGCGACAGTTGCTGCCTCCTCTACGAGAACTCCACTCTTGCGAGAGTGGGAGGGGGAGGGGTGGGAGGACTCGTCGAGGTACAACAACTACTTCGGTTTTACTATTACGTCAACCCTGGAGCTTCTCTCCCCTGTAAAAAAATGGGCTACTTTAAGCGATATGAATTGCTACACCATATGCCCCCTACTGGATGAAACCCAAATAGTGTTCTACGAAGCCTAAGGTGTTCCAAAGCTGTGAGCAACCTGACCGAAGGTGTAATGAGATAGGTGCCAGACTTCTGGCGCGATTTCAAAATCGCGAGTGGGGCGGGTCTTTATTGGTCTGTATGGTAATGTGTACTACGACCACGCGATTCAACGATTCATGCTAAAAGGACTGCATGTGTATTAACTGAAAAATCGCCAACGTATCGCATCGATGAACGGTCATTAGGTGGGGTCAATCCCATCAATGTGCATGGTCCAATCAGCGTAATCGCCAACCACCGAATTTCAGATCGATACGTATGCTTTCCTTTTACAGGAATCGCCGAATCGCACAAACCGCAGGTTATGAGTGAAGCCTTATTATTTAAACAGATTATTTGTGCAAATAATTAGTTAGGAGATCCAAATCCAAGTATTCACTTTTTTGACAAGTGAAGCCACTACCATACTACGGAGAAGCACTATTAACAACAGGGTGAGGTTCGCTAGATAAGAAAACGGCGCATGTGGCTCGGGGGGGGGGGGGCAGTCGCCGCGCGCGATCTCTGCGTTTTTCTGTGTAAGCATTTCCTCTTCGCTAAATCGGGACTAAGCCTCGGGCAGGGAGGAGGAACTCCAGGATCATAGCAATTTTCATCTTCCCAAAGTTCCTGCCCACTCCTAGGCTTAGTACAAGGCGCGGACGAGCAGAGATCGCGCGCGGCGACTCTCCCGAGCCACATTGTGCCAAGGAAACTACTTTCCCGATTTCCGCACAAAAAAACTTTTTTCGCTGCGGGATACCCAGGTCCTTGAACGAAAGTTTCGCGGACTGGATAACAGCTGCATCTCGCTTTATCCTAGGCAGTCACCACCATTGATTTAGAGAACACCCAAATTCGTCGAATCCCATCCAAAAGCACTAAGATTGCGTCGAGAAACCACGACTTTACTACCTCTCCCCCAGCAGTATATATGGTGATAATTACAATTAGTTGGGGGACAGCGGCGCGCGGCGCATCGCCTACGCCTGGCGCCACTCGAGCGAGATATGTTGAACTCGACAACTGTCCAGTTTGTCACGCTTGTCAACATGACATGCTCCTACCTGCCTCCACGCCCAAGCTACAAGTCATCCGGCCACGATTCCCAAGTAGGCATAAGATGTCCAGCCGAGCAAAGCGCCGCGCCGCCGCGTGTCTCCCAACTAAAGGCCACTCAAGATTCCGTTTAAATTTCCTTCCTAGAGCACATTCATATTTGTTGCATGTTATAAAAAGAAACTGGGTCTATTCCAGTTAGGGGGGCATCATGATGCAGTTTCTCGGCGAGCTAATGTAAACTCGAACATTCCAGCTTCTCACGCATGTCAAGTGACTGCCCTCACCCCCCCCCCTAGGCTGGCTACACTCCCCCTGGCTCAGAGTTACCGTAGCTTTTTGGGAGTCACCGCACCATGATGCCCCCCTAACTGGAATAGACCCAAAACATGTACTGAGAGTGAAAATACCGTCTCTTTGAAAACCAATAAATTTCAAAGGATCTTTTCTTCTTGTAGCTTAAGGGAAGGATTGCATACGGCCCCAGAATTATGAGGTATTTGGAGGATAGCAGCTCAAACTGGCGCGTTGTGAATAACGCAGATCAATTTGTAAGCCGAGAAATAGACACAAACAACAGCGGCCGGAAGACTCATCACATGCGTTCGCTAAATTTTAAACGAGTACTACGTTGCTCCAAGCGACAACACAGCCGGGTCGGGTTAAACTGCGCCGCAGTCCGTACCTGCAGCGGCTTTCCAATGTCGTCAGCAGTGAATTGATTTTCATGCGGCATGTTCTATAGCTTGTTTGTTAATGGCCAATAGCCGGCTATTTGCAACACTTTGTTGAGTGCAATACGCCGGAAAGGATTTGTTGAATTTCCCTCAGAAACCGACTCAGTTCAGGGGCTTAGGTGTTGCTGAAGATGTGCAACTTCTATGCTTGGATGCGTGTGGTATTCATTTGTTGGTTAATAATTCAGTGTTAAATAATCAAAATCAATCTCATCATAACGGGCTAGCCACCTCGCACTGTTCGTTTTTCGTTACCTAGTGAAAAGACGACAAATGAGTTATGCTTCGAGCATAGCGCGTTCAGTGGAAGGGCAAGTTTTTTTAGACATGGGAGATGTCAGATTGATTAGCGGCAGTTCTAGCAAGCAATAGCTTGTGGAGAACGGGCGATTCTCTCAATTTCATGGTCTTATTACTCGATCAACCCATTATCAACGTTGGATTGATTTCCATCATGCTCAACCCAGACTTACATACTTTCGGATTCTCCTCCTGGTACCAATTTCCTTGGAATGTGGGAAGTGAATTGATTCGGACTTAGCGCAGTCCCTGGTTCATTGTAGAAGCTTCATAGCCTTCGAATACTCATACTTTTGCTAATTCCTTTTACATATACTGCGCCTTGTATCACGTAATTT